CTGAATCTGGAAATAGTGAGGATAGAGCCACTAGGATCTGCAGCAGGACAGGATGTGGGAGTGAGGCGAGGGTTTGAAGCCACAGCTCTTAGGAGGAAGGGGTTGGCATTTACCGAGGTGGGAAGACTGTGGGAGGAGTCGGTTTGAGGGAGGAGCAGTATTTGCTTTCAGACAGTTGAACGTGAGATACCTGTGGAGCTCTGTGTGGCAATGTGGGTGGGGAGTTGTTGGATAGGTAAATCTGGGTTCGAGGACAAGGCCCTTGCTGGAAATTTAAATCTGGGAGTCATCACGCAGAGGGTATTTAAGCTGTGAGGCCGCATTGAATCGCTAAGGGAGTGAAGGACAGAGAAGAGAAAAGACCCCAGCACAGAGCCCTGGGCACCTGTCTTTAGAGGTGTAGAGATGAGGCAGAACCAGCAGAGGGGCTGCAAAGAAGCAATCACAGGGTTAGGAGGACAAGCAAGAGGAAGACCATGTCCCGAAGGCCAAGATTCAGCAGAGAGCAAGCGGGACGCCCACCCTCCTGCCTTCCCACTTTCACTCTCAGAGGCTCCTTGAGCTTGGAGATGACTCTGATGCAGACTAGAGCTCCTGCTATTAGGGAGGGGCAGGGACAAGTAAATTGATGAACCCTTTATAGTGTGATAGGAATGGGAGCACTTGTGCTGGAGGTGAGGTGGACAGAGTGGGGGCATCCAATGTGCCCTGGAGGGGCCAGGGGACAGTTCTCATGGAGGAGAGTCAGGGGGGGTGAGACTTCATGTGGACCATGGGGTAGAGATCACAACAGCTTTATGGGCAAGGGGTGGGCTCTGGATTTCCACAGGAGAAGGTGGAATGGGAAGGCAATTCCTGGCAATTTGTACAAGTGTCACAAGGAATGGTGGGTGGCCCATTTGGGTTGGGGGCTCTGGCCTTTGGGGTTGCTTGGAGACAAGGAGGGGAAGGGATGTGAGAGAGGCCATGGGAACCTTTGACCTCAAGCAGACAAAGCCCCACAGTCCCGGGTGGGAGTAGTGGGTGCCTGAATGGGAGGCCAAGAAAATGCTGTAGTTCTCTAAGCAGGAGGAGGTTGGCTGGGTAGAATCAGGGAAGGTTGCCAGAGGGAGGTGGATTTTGAAGGATGTGTGGGCTTTGAGTAAGCCCAGATGCATGGAGGAGCTTTCTTGGCAGAGGCCACACATGCAAAGGTATAGAGGCAGGGGCTTGCAATATGTGTCCAGGAAGCAGAGCTTGATGGGAGATGAGATTAACCAGATCGTTTGGAATCAGACCCAAAAGGTCTCACCCCCTTATTGCATGGTTACTGGGAAGCCATTGCAGGTTCCTGAGCTGTGGAGGGACTAGGTGGGGTCTGGTTTTAGAAAGACAGGTCAGGCAACAATGTACAGTGTGAACTAGAAGAAAAGGGAGGTAGCACACCCAGGTCAGTGGTGGTGATGACTTCAGCAGCAGACACAGGTGGGACCCATGTGACACTTTTCCTCTAAGTTGGGCCAAAGGTTTTGTAAATTGCAGTCTCATGACCACACAGCCCTGCAGGGCAGGGGAGAGGCCAGTAATGCAGGAGCTCCACAAGGCTACAGTGACCCCAAAAGACTTTGTGCAGGGGCTACCCAGGGGCAGTTGGATGGGGAGCACACTTCTATTTACTATGTTAAGCTCACATGTACCCAATATCTTGGGTACTTTTTACCATCCCCATTTTGCAGATGAGGCACAAGAGGCTCAGAGAGGTACAAAGCTAGTATGTGATGGAGCTGTTTTGAACCCACTTCTCCTTGGCTAGGCCAATGTTTCAAAGTGAGCTCAGGGATCACAGAAATAACCAGTGAACTGATTTGTCAAGCACTTGCTCTGAGCCAGGCATATACAAATGCCCTTATCAGATGTATTTGGGCCAAGTATATATATGATGCATTTATCCAGGCTCAGGAACCTATAGTGACTCCCCAGTACCCTAGCCCATTGGTCTAACAGATGAGAACTTTGACACTTAGAGCAGATGTGTTGCTGGCCCAAACTGGGGTTTGAACCCAAACCCTCACTGCCTCCTGTCCTGGCAGGAAGAGGAGGGGGAGGAGTCCTTTGTGAACAGCTAGTGTTCAGAGCTGGAGCTGGGGGAAGGGCCAACCTGGAACCTGCCCCATGCTCAGGCCCAGCCCAGTCCAAGCTGGCTGCCTGACTTTTGTGCCCTGTTGGTTCTTTGCATATAAATCATGGACCTGCTTACTGAATGGGCATGTGTCTTTTCCCCTTGGGAAGCTGCCCAGGCCACCACAGGTACAAATAGAGTTGAATTCAGGATAGGGCCTTCTCTCCTGCCCAGCCTGGCCGCTGAGTAACCTCTGGCCTGGAATGAAAGGCTTTCCAATAAGTGCCTTGCTGGCGCACAGCCCAGCTATGTGGTAGGTGGATGTGAGGGTGAGAGATCAACCAAGAGAAGAATTCAGGAATCTGAGAGCAGGGGCAGAACCTTGCCAACAAGTCTCTTAGCAAGCTGCGTTCTCAGCCTGTGCCTCTGGAGGGAGGGTTTGGGAATGAGAGCTGGTCACGAGGAGCCCTGGCTGCCCTCCCAGCCCAGCTAAGGGCCAGGCCTTCGGCTCAGCCCAGGGGCAGCAGGTCCCGTGAGGTGAAAACACCAGGCAGCCCAGGGCAAGAATCAGAAATCAGATACTCTGGGCCACCTCTCCGTTGGCCTTGAAGAATGCACAGCGCACAGCCTGGGTTTCTCTTTGAGCTCAGAGCGGCCTCCTGCCCTTGCAGGGGTGGGGCAGGGTCAGCAATCAGACCTGAAATTGTTTTCACAGGGAGCTGAAAGGCACCCTTGTCATGGAAAATACATCACACATTTACGGGGGCCGGGGCTCCATTCCTCCCTTGGTCTAAAGTCTCATCTTAGGCCATCCCAACCCTGCTCTGTGGTTCTCATCTATGAAATGAAGGTATTGGGCAGCAGGATCTCAAAAGTCCCTTCAGGTGCTTAAAAACCGAGGTCTAAGGCCCTGTGGCATAACAAAGCCGGGGTCTGTGACCTGGGTTTTGTGGCACATCATTGTCCTGTTCCTGAGCCCCTCAGGAGGGTAGAGTTCCCATGATCCATGTTTAGCCTTTGACACCTACAGGGGAAGCAGCTGGGATAAACTAGAAAAGGATTGACTTTGTTTGGCTTTGGGTATGTTTTTCTACTAAATCCTTCAGCAGAGGAGGGGTTGACATTCTAGAAATCCACTTCAACCCAATTGCCGAAGCTCCTCCAGAAGATGACCCCTTCCCCACCCTCCCCTCCTTCCGCTCTCCCTTGCAAATCCTCCCTTCTGGAAGTGACTTCTTTAACGCCCCCCCTTATCTTTCTCCAACTTTTCCCTCCGGATGTTTTCCCTGCGGCGCCCTTTCCACCTGCCTTCAGAGGTGGTTAAGTGTTTGAGTTTCAGAAGGAAGGATTCTCTGGCTGCAAAGTCAACACAAGTGAGCAGTTAGGGAAGCACTAATTAAGGAGATTAGATGCTAACTCTGAATGCCGGAGTGCCCACTAAGCTGTGCTTGAGACTCAAGTGGGGCTCAGCGCTGTCAGCGGGCTCTAGAGTTCCAGTGGGGAAGGCCGAGCCTGCAGTTCTCAATGCTTTGAGCCCCTTGCAAGGAGGACATTGAAGGAACAATCACTTCTCATAAGCTACCCTCTGGTCCCTAAAGGAAATTGCTGCTGCCTGCAATGACAGTAGTTGTAAGAAGTTGATGGGAGGCAGCAGCCACCTCTTCCAGGAAGCCCTCCAGAAGACGGCAGGTGCATCTCTTTTTTCTTCCCTTCCTCCTTCACACTCCTCTGCACTTCAGTCTCTGGTTGTGCCACATGGAGAGGTCTTCCACATCACTCTTCTGCCCAATTTGTGGTGTGGAAAACGTACTTGCACAATTTTCTCAGCCTTTATTCCCAGGACAAGATTCGAAGCCCCGGTGGCAGGGGCCAGGCCTCATAGATCATGCTTGTATACTCACTGCCCAGAGCAAGAATGGCTATGAAAATCTTTGTTTTGTGCATTGTGTGGTTTCTTTGCCCAAATATTCTTTCCTTTTTTAAAAATGGAAATAAATTTCTGATTATAAAAATAATTCATGAGTGAAGAAATCAGAAAGCACCTGTAATGCCAGTACTGGGAGCTAACCAAGGAATCATGTCCTGCCAGACTTAGTTCTGTGCAGACACATCCACATTTGACATACAATAAAGAAATTGTACTGTGCTTTTAGTTTGTTTTTGCAATCTACTTTTAAAAAATATGTTTTTATTGAGTTTTGAGAGAGAGAGAGAGAGAAACATCGATGTGAGAGAGAAACATCGATTGTTTGCCTCCTGTGTGCACCCTGACCAGAGATTGAACCCCCAACCTAGGTATGTGCCCTGACCAGGAATTGAACCTTCAGCCTTTTTGATGTATGAGATGATGCTCCAACCAAGTGAGCCACCCAGCCAGGGCTAATATCCTCTCTCACATTTGAGCCACAATTTAAATAACTAATCTACCATTGTTGGACCTGGAGTTCCCCCCACACACATACTTTTCCCCATTATAAATGACACTGCAATAAATACCTTCCTACATAAATATTTGTGAACATCTCCATGTTTCTTTCTTAGAATTAAATAAGGAATGGAATTGAAGAGCCAGAGGACTGGCACATTTGTTAAGACTGTGTGAGCCAAAAGCCAGTTTGTCCTTACCTCCAGCATCACAGAAAAGCGGTGGGTGCCCGACTGGTGGACCTGTTGGCAGATATCAGTGGCCCCAGGTCTGGGAAGTAGCTCAGCCCATGAACTTGGTTTCCCCTTTGCCTTCAAAGGCTGGTGGCTCTGGAGTCTCCCTGGATAGTTCCTGGGCCAGCCTTGGCCTTGGAGCCTGCCCAGGCATTTAGAGGGGTCTGGGGGATAGCGGCTTGTATGGCTGCATGGAAAGGGTATGCATGACCCTGGGTCACGCCTTCAATCTTTTGTACTGCAGGAGGCCTCAGAGGGGCGACTATCATTGACTCCCTTGATACCCTCTACCTTATGGAGCTGAAGGAGGAGTTCCAGGAGGCCAAGGCCTGGGTTGAAAAGAACTTCCACCTGAACGTGGTGAGTCAGGGCCCCTGGGGTGTTAGGGCCAGAAGCAGCCCGAGAGGTCATGGCCAGCTCCACCCTGTCATCTCTGAAACCCAGAGGTGTGGGGACTCTGGCTCCAGGCTGCGCAGCAGAGCAGTCCAGCCATGGCCGTTCCTTCCCCTCCCTGGGGCACCAGGCACGTTTCTCACACCCAGGAAGACCCTTCTAAGGCTGCATCTGTCACAACAGCAGCAGGGGAAGTGACTCTGGAGTAGAGAAGAGGCTTATCTGCTCAGAGCTGCTCTAACCTGGATCCCCCCCTGTGCACGATAGGTGAGAGGCCTGTTACCAGGTCCGAACCCCCTCTTGGTTTTCAGCCTTGAAGGCATCCTTGGTCAGGGACCAGAGTCTTGAGAAGGAGATGGTAATGTGTCTGGATGGCACAAAACCCTTAAGTATCAGACCCCACCCCCACTGATCTCCCCACCCAGCATGGGAAGAGGCTGATTAGATGGATTTGGGGAGCAAGAAATGGAGACAGATGGGAAGGGGTAGGGGGTGACATCAAAACACACTGTAGGGTTCCATCGGGCTCTACGAGTGACAGGTCCTGGTGGGAATGGGGACAGCTCCTGCAGCTCATGGTAGAATTGAGGCCAATATCAGTACAGAGCAGGGCAGAGAGACAAATGAGAAAGTCTGAGAAAGCAAAGCTACAGGAGCGCTTCTCTGGCTCGGCACGCAGGCTGGGGAAGGTCATTCAACCTCCCTGGGCCTTAGTTGGCCCACTTTAAGACAGAATGACACAACAGCAACACTAACGATGCCTAATGCGCAGGCCTGTGAGCCTTAACTATCACGGAGGGCTGTAAAAAGCGTTTTATAACACCATCAAGTCCCACACAGATGTAAGTGCCACCATTATCCCATCATGATTATTTTGAGGCTTGTTATGACTTCCAATGGTCTGTGTGACGTGAGGAGTTTAGAATCTCATTTTCTACTGTCTCAGATGGAAGAAAGACAGAAGCAGGAGAAGGGAGGTATCTTCATAGACCCACCTTGTCCCTCTGCAGATGTTGGGTAGAGAGTGGGCATCAGGCAGCTGCCGGAGGTATCAGGTGGTGGCCAGGTTGAGGGAGCCTGGGAGCATTCAGGCTGGGACAGGTTAGGGAGTGTCCCTGGGAGAAAGCAAGACATGGTCACTCCCCCTCTCTGAGCCTTGGCTTTCTCATCTGAAAAATGGGAACAATGACATCACTGTGTGCTGTGAGGCTAGAAAAGAGTGGCTTTGCAAGGGCTCTGTCCAGGGAAAAGCTCTCCCAGATAAAGGGATGATCATTGTTCTTGTCAGTAATAAAAGGCCATCACATGGCAAGTGTGCCAAGGAGAGCCCTGGGGGCAGGGGAGGCAACAACAGGTCCCTTTCTGAAGCCACTCCTGGCACTGGGCATGCACCTCACCTGCACCACTCATCGTCTCCTATCTGCCCTGCTTGGGATAAAGAAACTCAGGAAAGGGAAGGCTGAGCATCTTGCTCAAAGCCCCAAAGCCAAGGAAGTGGCTCAGATGGTGTTTTCACCCAGATCTGGTCTGTGGCATGATGCCCAGCGCCCCTGATATGCAGGCCACACTTCAGAAAGAAAAAAACGATTCAGGCAAGGTTGGGCATACCCCAAATGCTGCAGATCCAGGCAGAGAAATTGCTGTTGACCTACAAGTATCTACTTGGCGCTCCTTCTTCTCAGTCTTGGCACTGCCCTGTCTATCCCAGAGCCTCCTGGGACCCTTCCCCTTGCCCTGTCACCTCAAGGAAGGGCCCCTCCTTTTAAGCCGAGGTGGCCAGGCTAGAGGAAGATTAGCCTCCTCTCAGGCTAAGCTTCAGCCAGCAGCTCCCATGTGGGTTCTTAAGCTCCTTGGAGGGCAGCCAGGCATAACTTTGCTCCAGTGGCCTCGGGCAGGGGCTGGGGAAGGAAGCCAAACCCAGTGTTTATTTGGAATGTTGTAAATGTGCAGGGGCCACCAGGCAGGTGCCTTTTGCTCTGAAAACCACCACTGAGCATCCCAGGAACCAGCCCAGGTGCGGCCAGATCAGCGGGGTGGGGTGGGGTGCAATGGAGGTGTGACCTGTCTCAAGCAGCAGGCCACCTCTGGGAGCCCTGCGGGCATCTCACGAGTGTCCTCACTGCCCTCCCCCCTTCTTTCTGCCCTACAGAGTGGAGAAGCATCTTTGTTTGAGGTGAACATCCGGTACATCGGAGGACTCCTCTCAGCCTTCTACCTGACAGGAGAGGAGGTGAGTTGGTGCTTCCATCCAGGCTGGAAAGGGCTTGGGAGAACATCCTTCCCATCCCTTCATTTCACCAATAAGGATGCCAAACAGGCATCCAAGAGGATGTGCCCAGGGCCACCCAAGTCTCTTACCTCCATGGTGCCACCTGCATGCAACCTCTTCTGTCTGATGCTTCAGTAGGGCCAGGTGAGCCCTAGTGGCTCCACAGTTGGTAGTAAATTCTCTGAGATCAATAACTGGGTCTCCTCATCATCCATGTAGTCCTTGCAGGGTGTGCGGCAATACCTGGGCTCGGTGTGGGCTTGCAGAGCTGCTGGACTGGTTATTGCAGGTGTTGGTTCTCAGGATTGATAGAGCCAGACCATTGTTTCACCATTTCCACTCAGGGGCTCCTAGGCCTTGTTCTGGACTCGACAACCACCCCTTGCCCTCCCCTTCTGAGCCAGACACCAGCTCTAGGTCTGAGGGGGCCAGTAAAGGAGATGGAACAGCCACATGCTGTAAGTACCAGACCTCAGCCCAGGTGCACTGCTCTGGCTTCCAGGAGGGCCGTGGGCACAGGAAACCTGGACCTCCTTCCACACCACACCTGCCTGTGGCCTTCAGCGAGTCCCTTCTCCCATCCCTGGGCCTCACTCCCTTCCCCACCATGGGGATGGTCCTAATCCCTGCTTGGGTCAAAAAGTCTTTTGACATGGGGCAGGAGGACAAGTGTTTCACCCCAGTGCTGCACTATGAGAGGAGTTTGACAACCAGAGTTCTGTACGAATGGGAGGCCCTTGTGAGCCTCTATGAAACTACAGCCCGAGTGTCTGCCAGTGAGGTGGGCTGAGTTCCTAGGATATCGGTCAGCTGTGCTCCCCATTAGTTAGAAGGGCCACTGCCCGGTGTGACCGCTGCCCTGGGGCTGGACCCCTTTCCTTTCCCCTCACTGCCCCTCTCTGTCCACCCGGAGATGAATAATTATGCCTGCAGGGGCAAGTGGAGGAAAAGGCCCCCTTCACCTGCACAGCTGCTGCCTGACCCACTTCCCTTCATTTAAGGCAACGGACTGAAGCGAGTTCAGAGAGAACGAGCATGCGCTTTATGTCTCCGCTTGCTTTAGACTCTCTCCATCAGGCATAATCTCCTCAGCGGAGATTACCACTTGTACCAATTTGTCCCCAAGTAATTGTAGATGGGAGCCCTCAGCTTTGAGCCACCCAAGGCCTGAATCTCATTTGGAAACCCCAGGACAGGAAATGACACACGGAGCAGAAAAAGGCACTCGTATCTGCGGGCATTTGCCCGCCTCCCGTCTAGGTGGCAGGAGGTGGCGGTGGATGCGGGGAAGGGGAGGCAGTGATACAGCGGGGCTTACAGGGGACGGTGTGGGGGCCAGTGGGTTAGGCTGGAGCTGGCGCTCCTCAGGCCTGCTGTCCCTCCCTCCCTGCTCTGAGGTGTCTGTGATTCTGAGAACTTGTTCTGAGACCTTGGCTCCCTAGAAGGGACCATCCTCCTGGCTTCCCAGGATGCAGCCCAGCCAGTGGGATGTGGACAGGAGCACCTGTGACTTAGAAATAGTCCCTAAGGCCCAAGGAGACGCCTAAGTGGCTCAGAATCCCTGAGCAGGCAGGTTACTGGCGCAGCCCCTGTCCTCCAGCCACACCTTCCTGGTCCCTCTCTGTCCCCAGCACCTCCACATGCAGAGTGATGGGGCATGTGCGCTGTCCTTGTTCCTCACACAGCCCATGAAATGTTGTCTTCACTGATTTGCAGGTGCAGAATCTGAGACTTAGCAGTCACTTGCTCAGGTCACACGGTCTCTGAGGCTATTTTGGGTCAACTCATGACTCTGGCCTCTCCACCGTCGGCCCTCCTTCAGCCTGGTGCAGGCCGCCCTCCTCTCGCAGTCCTCCATCTCACACACAATGGGTGCCTGTGGAGTGAGGCTTTTTAAAAATCCCCCATGAATATCCTCACTCTGAATGGTGAAGAGGCCCCATACCCTTTCCTGGGCTGATGCCGTTTTTTGCTTCAGAGGGGACCTGGGGGAGGGGAATCCCCTGCTGGGTAGCCAGCCCTACCAAGACACCCATGAGAGTCCCAAATACAGCCACAGTCACACCAGGTGACACTGGCATAGCACTTTACAGTTTATATAGCACACTTACTTGCACACACCCTCTCATTCGATGTCTAGAACCCTGTCAAGCAGCCAGGGCACGTGTCACCATTCCGCTGTGCAGAGGAGGCTCAAAGACAGTGCATGACTTGCCCAAGGTCACATGGCTGCTAAGTGGGAAGATCTGAACCTGGGCTCTGACTCCCAGTGCAGCACCCATATCACTCTACAGAATATAATTCTTGCCCAGCCGGATGTGGGTCAGCAGTTGAGCATTGACCTGTGATCCAGGTGATAACAGTTTGATTCCCGGTCAGGGCACATGCCCGGGTTGCGGGCTCAATCCCCATTCAGGGGCGTGCAGGAGGCAGAGAGAGGTAGAAACATCCATGATGAGAGAGTCATCATTGCGATCAATGATGACTCTCTCATCATGGATGTTTCTATCTCTCTCTCTCCCTCCCCCTTCCTCACTCTGAAATCAATAAAGGTATATTTTAAAATAATAATAGTAATAATAATTCTTGCCGCTTTCTTTCATCTCTGTTCTGGTGCCAACAGCCGCTGCCCATTGCTTACCATGCTGTCTGAGGCCTTTCTGTGTTGGAAAGGCCACTGGGTGTCCTGGAAAAGAGCCACCTCATAGCTCCACACCTCAGGCAACATGCTTTGCTGAGACTCGGTTTAGTCCTCCAAGTGGGTCAACGCCTTGCCCACAAGGCTGTCGCAGGGATTGGGGGTCCTGTAGATGAGACACCTGGCACACCGTGCTATTGTGAGTTATCATAAGAACTAGGTATTTGGTCTTCACCCTGTTTCTGGCACAGAGCTCCTAAAACCATTGGAATTCCCTAAGTGATGATAATGATAAAAGTGTCTTCTGTTATGTTATTGAGGTGATTTTGGGACCCCACGTAGGATGGGGGCTGGTTGCCAGGAGAAACAGTCATATGGTTAGAGGGTTGGAGCTTTTAGGTACCCCCCTGACCTTCAAGGAGGGAAGAGGGGTTAGAGGACAAATCAGTGGCCAGTGATTTCATCAACCCGGCCTATGCAATGAAGTCTCCATAAAAACCCAGAAGGACAGGGTTCAGAGAGCTTCTGGATTGTGAGCAGGTAGAGATTTGGGGAGAGTGCTGCACTCAGAGAACATGGAAGCTCCATGCCCTTCCCCCAGTTCTTGCCCTAGGGATCTCCTCCGTTTGGCTGTTCTGAGTTACATCCTTTTATAATTAACCGGTAGTTCAGTAAGTAAAATGTTTCTCTGAATTCTGTGAGCTGCTCTAGAAAATTAATCAAACCTAAGGTGGAGTTCATGGGAACCTCTCGTTTATAGCCTGTCAGTCAGAAGTACAGGTAACAGCCTGCACTTCCCATTGGCGGCTGAAGTATNAGAAGTACAGAGAGCATGAGCTTGCTGCTGGTGTCTAAAATGTGTGTGGGGGGGGGGGGGCAGTCTTGTAGGACTGAACCCTTAACCTATGGAATCTGATGCTATCTCCACATACATAGTGTCAGAATCGAGTTGAATTCTTGGACATGGAGCTGGTGTCTAGAGAATCGCTTGGTGGTGTGGGAGAACTCCCACACCCACAGTGGAACTGGGTCCAGGACCCCTTACGCACCCACTCACATCCTAGGTGACAAGAGGGATCAGTGCTCTGTTCCCACGGTCCCACTCTGGTCCACACACACTCACTCAGCATCCTCCCTGGGATGGCTGAGAGCCTGCATGGCCAGCCGGCAGCAAGGCCTTCCGCAGGGGAAGACATGGTTTGCCGGCCGAGGAGCGCATCTAAGAAAAGTGAGCCCTCAGTGCTCAGAGCAGAGGGCAGCCAGACAGCGGCCTGGAGCTTCAGCCTTGGGTTCAGGTTCCAGTGGGTCCCCTGGGTCTGTAGCTCGGCCTCCTCAGGAGTCAGTGAAGGTATCAGGAGCCTCAAATGAAAGCCCTTAGTTGTTGCTCAACCCATGGCTTCTGGGGTGACAGGGAGACTTTGGAACCTGGATTCTGGCCAAGCTCCCCAGGAACTCTGACATAGCCCCCAGTGTCCACTCTCGGACCTCCTGCCTGGCACTGACATTATCGCCTTCTCTTGCCCATCACTGCCGAGCCCCTCCCCTCCTGCCTGCCTTCACCCCCCTCTCCCCTCCTCCTAAGCAAGGACCCCTCCCAGGCCTCTTCCCACTGCATTCCCTTAGCAGCTGCCTCA